CCCCCCCCCCCCCCCCACAATCACCAATTTAATCAAATAATACCAAAATTAACAAGATCCACTTTGTCTTCTTCAACACTATCTAAGGATCAATAATGAAGTTTTAATATTTTTAAATCAAATTACTAAATTAGGATTCAAACTAAAAGTTTAAGCATAAATAATTAATACCTAAATAATTCTAACAGTAATTAATCATTAACTTGAAATTGTCAAGCCTAAATAAGAAATTTAAGCTTCCAAAATTGAAAAATTATGGTGTTCTTGGTGAAGAAGATACGGAGAAGAATGAGCCAAAGGGGCAAAGAGGTAGAGTCCATTTATTAAATACCACCAATTACGAGTACATTAAGCTAGAACCTGACTCATTAAAGGACGTGTCACGCAATTTTCTAAAATATAACAACAATTGAACCTCAATGTCAAATAAGTTAAATTGTTTTATAAATCCTTAATTATTATGGTACTTCATATAACTTACTCGGGCATAATGTAAATTTTTTTAGTGGGTATCGAAATGATTATAAATAAAAAATACACAGTGCTATTTTCACCACTTCGTGAGCTATACGATCTTTACCACAAAACTAATTTTAGTCTAAAAACCTTGAAAAGTATGAACAAATAAATAAAAAATGAAAGTGTGAGAACCTAATTTTCAAGTGAATGGACTTGGATATTTTAAACCTTTTTAAAAAATTTCCAATAATGTTTTAAAATAGGTTATGTGTGTTAAGCAAGTGCAAAAGTTAAGGTTGTTTAGAAATAGTAAGTTAATTGCTTATAAACTTACACGATGGTTCATTTCTATTCCAAATGTTCTTATTTGTTCAGGGCCACTCTTTTGTTCTTGGAGATTCCGAATATGTGACATTTTAAAAAATAGATCTTCTATCTAAACTACTCCATTTGTCCAAAAATATTAGTTAGATTTTATTTATTTTTTGAAATTCTATAAAAGTAAACTATAATTAAAAATGAAATTGAAATGAAATCGTATTCCAAATTAAGTGACAAAGTTGAAAATAAGTTAAAAATAGGTTAGTTGTTCATAGGTTGAATATGGTAATTGGTTATAACACGAGATATTATTTGTAATAGTTTCTTTATTGTAAATGTCGGAAAAGGGCTCAAATTTAATCCTCTATTATTTGAAATTGAATAATTTTGGCTCCGTTAAATTTTGATCTAATATTACTTTTGCCATTAGAAAAAAACCCTCATTTTTACATACCTAACATAACTGCAAGTTTAAATATATCCAAAATATTGAGGTACAATTTTAAATATTTTTTATTTGGACATGTGAAGTCCACCCATTTCACAGTGAAGTTTTAGTTAAGGGCAAACCATTTGTTATTGACAAAAGTATAAATGAGGAAACAATACATAAAAAAAATTAAAAAAAAAAAGTAAAGGAAACAATACATGTGCGAATTTGAACCTTTCCTCTTGAGAGGTCAAATTTGAAAGAAACGAAATAAAGTAATTAAGTAAAGGAAAGAGAAGGAGAAGGAGAAGAAGAAAAGGCCAATAACGTGTCAATACTTCATGAAAAGTCCAGTCTACATTACGAAGAGAGTCAACACTATTTTAACAGCCATCACAAACAGACTTGAAACATGAATTGGTCATCTCATATTAATGTTTCTTTTATTTTGCCCCCAAAAGCCACGTTTCTTTTGTTTTATATACACTCTAATTTTCTTCGCCATTTCTTTCATTAATAAACTAAATACTAGAACTATGAATGCCTTGGAAAAGCAGGAAATGTTTACCAAAGGGAGAGTTTCTTTTGTTGAAAATTAAGAAGAAATTCCTTAAATGAAAAAATTTCTTGGAGAGAGTGTTTTTCCGCTTAAATGGACTTTACACGACACAAATTTAAATTAGTCGGATTAGTAGCTTTCGACTTTCGAATACTAAATGGTTAAATAAATAAATAAAATATTGGAGACGCTAAAAAAACGCAATAATATGGACGAACAAATCAGTATAAAATGGCGTTTTAGAATAAGGTAGGCAATAATTTATAGGAGGTTGACCAACACGTTCTTCCCTGTGTCTAAGAATGACCATTTGGTACCCAAATAGCCCTTGTTTTGGAGCTAAAATGACCAACAAAGAAAAAAACTAAATTCAAAAGTTAGAATTTCTAACTTATGATTTATGCTTAAAAGTCACTTAAAAAAAAGCCCATTTAAACGGGCTCTAAATCATACCTATGAGAAAATGACCCTCTATAACCCCTTAAAATTTTAATAGCCAATGTTTTTCTCCATTGACATGAAATGTCTCTCCGGCCCAAATATATTACAACCAATAGCCTGAAATGTCTATTTTGTATATTTTTTGTATATTAACAGTCTATTTAGTATAGTTTTTGTATAGTGACAGTCTATTTTGTATAGTGACAGTCTATTTAGTATATATTTTTTATAGTGACAGCCTATTTTGTATAGTGACAGTCTATTTTGTATAGTGACAGTCTATTTAGTATATATTTTTTATAGTGACAGCCTATTTTGTATAGTGACAGTCTATTTGTATATATTTTGTATAATGATAGTCTATTGTATATAAATTGTATGGTGACAGTCTATATAGTATATTTTTTATATAGTGACAGTCTATTTTGTATATATTTTGTATAGTGACAGTCTATTTAATATATTTTTTGTATAGTGACAGCCTATTTTGTATATATTTTGTATAGTGACAGTCTATTTAATATATTTTTTGTATAGTGATAGTCTATTGAATATATTTTTTGTATAGTGACAGCCTATTTTGTATATATTTTGTGTAGTGACAGTCTATTTAGTATATTTTGTGTATAGTGACAGACTATTTTGTATATATTTTGTATAGTGACAGTTTATTTGTATATATTTTGTATAGTGACAATCTATTGTATATAAATTGTACAGTGACAGTCTATTTTGTATATTTTTTGTATAGTGACGGTCTATTTTGTATATACCTTCCACTACCTTCCTGCCTTGTACCCTACCGCTTACCAAGACATAACCGAAAAATCAAATGACCAGTTGCATATCTGAATTTAAAAGTTATAACTAGAATTGTATTCTTCTTTTCATAAATTTCCTTTTCTTTCTAATTTGATGAAACCATGTAAGCCAAAAAAGATTATAGCTTGCCAAGAAAATAATGAAAACAATTGTATGTCCCTCACAAAATTTGCCAATTGGCAACATTGATGATTGATGTAATTCTCCTTAATTCATACTTCCCATGTTTTTAGTGGGAGTATTATTTACTGACACTAAAATCGAAAATTCTTGCAAATGGAAAATAATGTAATTCTTTGGGCTATTAATTTTGGCCGACAAAAGAGCATCTTTAGAAATTCGCCGAAAAGAGGTCATGCGAGGAAGAAAAAGTTATTGAAGTAATACTACAAGATTGGGGACCAGAAGATATATAGAAAGAATCCAAGCAAACCTAAATGGGGAAAGTGCAAAAAGACTGTTATGTTGTCTTCGGCCAATCAGGGTAAAAATAGCAAGGCTAGTCAGTTTTCGAACTGGTAATTGAGAAAAATTCCAGCATAATATACTGGAGATTAATGCACTTGTGTATGAACTTCCAATATATTATGCTGGACCAATATATTATGTTGGAACTCCGGTATATTATGCTGGAAGTTAACATGTAAAAAATTCGAACTCCAGTATATTATGCTGGAATATTTTTCGAATTTTGAACAGTGTTTTCTTTTAAATTTATCTTTACATAAATAGTGGTTAAATTTCGATTACTTTTGAAACTATGTCTATTTTTCAATTACCATATGTAAATATGACTATTTTTTAATTTCACGTGCTTGTGGGTCAGATGTATAATTCGGTAGCTAGCCACTAAAATTACTTTTGAGCTATAAAATGTATAATATAATTTTGGACTAATGGGTATTATATATTTGGCCCGAATTACTGTAAATGAATTTTGCTAACCCTACCACTTACCACTTGCGAGAATAGAATCAGTCAAATGCGGTGAATAAACACGATAGCACTTGCATTTTTATTTTTATATTATAGCAATAGAGAGAGAAAGGGAGACAATGAGACCTAAACACAAAATCCCATCGCTATCATTGAACTGTAAGACAATTCAGATAGTTTTTCCTATTTTTACTTTGATACAAAATAGTCTTCTTACATCGACACAGAGTTTAAGGAGGAAAAAAAAAATAGTTTGAAACTTATGTTTTTAAAAGTTTAAAACTTAAAAATTTTATGGGATCATAATATTTGTATGACTATAAGAACTTTTCATTAAAGGTAACATAAGTAAAAGAAAAGTTTAAAGTCAAAAATATTTTCTAGAAATATGATTTTTTTTTTGAATTAGACTAATAAAAAAAGTATGTTACATAAATTAAAACTAAGGGAGTACTAGATACCAAAATAAATGAATAATTCAACCATTTAACGGGTCGCTAAG